ACACGTATTCCTAAGGGCGTTAAAATGTCAAAGACAAAAAACGAAAAAAAAAAACAACTCTTGTTAAATTCTTATCAACTGCAAATTTTTTTCCTATAGAGATTTACTAGTTTTGCTAAATACCTTTTAAATTTTCGACTACTCATCAGCTACTGCTGCCTTCCCTCACTGTGAGTTTTAGTTAATGTTAATGAATCCTTTAGTTTTTATAAATGAATTGTTAAACTAGTGGGAGGACAAAGGAAAAGAAAAAGTAAAAACTATTTTACTTAAATTAAATAATCTTGTTTATTTTCTATTGACTGATCTATTAAATAGTCTATGGACAAGTCTTGTTTATAGACCGATGAACAAGTCGGTCATCTCGTTTATTTACCTATGGACTAGGCCATGGGCTAGTTCAATATACATATCTATTATTAGGCTTTATGCTGGTCTAGCCTATAGATTAGACTATGGTTTATCTTATAGACCAGCCTATAGACTAGTCTATGGACTATCTCATAGACTAGTCTATGAACCAGTCTATGAATTAGTAAACTGGTCAAGTCCATAGATCCATAGATTAGTCTATTGACCAATCTATGGACTAGTATATTGACAAGACTATATCTATACATGAGACAAGTATAGACTAACTTGTTTACTAATATATTGACTAGTCTATTCTATAGACTATTCTTTTGACTATTCTATGAATATTCTATCGACTAGTCTGTGGACTAGTCTATTAACTAGTCTTTTGACTTAGTATTCTATGGACTGGTATATTCACTAGGCTTTGAACTAGTCTATTGCCTAGTCTATTGGTTAGTCTATGGACTAGTTTAGAGTAGGTATAGGCTAGGTATAGACTAGTCGTTTGACATGTCTATGGACTAGTCTTTTGACATGTCTATGGACTAGTCTATTGACTAATCTATGGAATAGTCTATAGGCTATTCTATCAACTACTCAATGGATTAGTCTATAAACTAGTCAATAGACAAGACTTTGGACATATCTTGTCTATTGACTAGTTTATGGACTAGTCTTTTGACCAGCCTATGGACTGGTCTATTCACTAGACTAGTCTATGGATTAATCTATTTTAGTCTTTGGATATGGCTATGGACTAGTTATTAAGTATTAACTGATGTATGGACTAGTCAATGGTATATTCTATGGACAAGGCTATGGGCTACTCTATGGATTAGTCTATAAACTAGTCAATAGACTAGTCTTTGGACATATCTATGGTCTAGTCTATGTACTATTCTATTCTAGACTGATCCATTGACTTTAGTCTATGTAAGTATTTATTTATAAAGTTGATTGTGGTGATGTTAAGAAAGGATAAAAGAAGAAACGATATAAGAAGTACATATTTAAATGTTATTGAACCTCAAAAATAATTTAACTGTTACAACAGTGAGCGGCATCAATGGCTCTTTTGTTAAAAGTAAACAACAAAATGGCTGTAGAATTTTCTTAAAATATCTGCATTACGTTTAAGACCGTTTTTTAAAAATAACTCTTTTGTTTTAAATTTGAAAAGTAAACAACCTTGATATCGCTTTAAAAATATGGGTGGCAAACAAGTTTTGTGGCATGAATAATCATTCATTCAAAGTATTAAATATATGGTAGGGTTTCAAAGAACACTTTTTTTTGTATATGCATGAAAAGTAAACTTTTTTTTATTTCAGAAAAATTTTATTCTAGCAAAACCTCAAATTATACATAATTATATTTGAAGAATAAAAACTGAAATAAAAACAGCCAGATTTGTCACATCAGCATTTTTTACATGTTTTTCTTTTTTGCTGCGTGTTTCTTTTATTTTCTCCTGTTTTTTTTTTTTTTATTAAATATAAATTTATTTTTATATTTTTAGTATGTATTTCATTCATACACATAAATTTTTACTTTGAGAACATTATTCTAGTTATTATTTTCAACAACAACATCATCATCGTCATTATCAACGTTGTCATAATTTTTATGCAGTTTGAGGAAAGAGCCAACCGTACTCCTTTCCTTTATTTATATGCATGCAAAAATTTTAACTTCCTTTCCCGCTGCAGTTTCTCTTTTTTTAAACTGTTTAACATATTTTGGTTTTTCACATCTCTCAGCTCAAGACTTGACTTGATTCATCATCAGAATACTGAAGACAATGATGATGTTGATGAGGTTGCTGTTGATTGCACAAAGTGTGGTTTAATGTTTTTAGTGCATGATGGCTGAATATTGTGTGTCTCCACACTTTTTAAGACCAACAAAATTCTGTTTTTATAACTGTATTTAAAGCTGTTTTTTTAGGTCCATGTATTTATGTTTCTTTTTTTATTTTTGCTCTGAAGTTTGCTTGATTTTTTTTTGTTGTAGTTTTGTTCTATTCTATTTCATATTATTCATGAATTAATGAATGATAATGAAGTATGCCGAGTTTTAGAAGCAAAAGCAGCGAACACCAATCTTTCAGCAACTAACTATAAGTTGTTTTCTTTTTAACCGAAAAATAAGTATCATTTGTTTTTGAGATTTCAAAAAATAACGTTAATTTTGTAGTTTATTACTTTTGCTTCTATACCCGTTTTGTCTACCGCTGTTGTTTGTCTGTCTATGGTGGTTTTACGTCCTTTTTCTTTCGGCCGCATTTATAGTTTAAGCTTTTTTTCCGTTGCATTTTTATTGTATAGTTTTTATCAGTTTCTTTTCTTTTTAATCTTTTAGCAAGTTTGTTATGTTTTTCTATTAGGTTCTTTGTTTTATGGATTTTCAAATAGATATTTTTCTTACAAATCATTATGTTAGTTTAAAGCTTTAAGCGAAAAATCTCAAGTTTTAAAGAAAATTCAATTTGCACAATTTTATAGTAGACCTATGCTCAACACTATCACTGTCAATAGTGTTGAGTTGTTTCTTAATTCTTATACGGAAATAACAATCTTTCTTTTTTCATTATGGAAATTTTTTCTAGAAAAAAGTGTTATATTTATTTTTTTGAAAAATGTTTTCCAAAAAAAGCAATTTATGGATGAAAAACTTTATAAATTTTTTTTATCAAAAAAACGTATCTACGAACTTTCTTTTCGATTGTAATATTTAAAGTTTTTATATAAAAGTCAGTTTCTCCAAAGCTTTCAAATCAAAAGCTGTTTTACATAGTTGCTTAATGAAAAAGGAAGTTAGTGAATTAGTGAATTAGGTAGGTAGTTAGTTAGTTAGTTAGTTAGTTAGTTAGTTAGTTAGTTAGTTAGTTAGTCAGTTAGTTAGTTAGTTAGTTAGTTAGTTAGTTAGTTAGTTAGTTAGTTAGTTAGTAGTTAGTTAGTTAGTTAGTTAGTTAGTTAGTTAGTTAGTTAGTTAGTTAGTTAGTAGTTAGTTAGTTAGTTAGTTAGTTAGTTAGTTAGTTAGTTAGTAGTTAGTTAGTTAGTTAGTTAGTTAGTTAGTTAGTTAGTTAGTTAGTTAGTTAGTTAGTTAGTTAGTTAGTTAGTTAGTTAGTTAGTTAGTTAGTTAGTTAGTTAGTTAGTAGTTAGTTAGTTAGTTAGTTAGTTAGTTAGTTAGTTAGTTAGTTAGTTAGTTAGTTAGTTAGTTAGTTAGTTAGTTAGTTAGTTAGTTAGTTAGTTAGTTAGTTAGTTAGTTAGTTAGTTAGTTAGTAGTTAGTTAGTTAGTTAGTTAGTTAGTTAGTTAGTTAGTTAGTTAGTTAGTTAGTTAGTTAGTTAGTTAGTTAGTTAGTTAGTTAGTTAGTTAGTTAGTTAGTTAGTTAGTTAGTTAGTTAGTAGTTAGTTAGTTAGTTAGTTAGTTAGTTAGTTAGTTAGTTAGTTAGTTAGTTAGTAGTTAGTTAGTTAGTTAGTTAGTTAGTTAGTTAGTTAGTTAGTTAGTTAGTTAGTTAGTTAGTTAGTTAGTTAGTTAGTTAGTTAGTTAGTTAGTTAGTTAGTTAGTTAGTTAGTTAGTTAGTTAGTTAGTTAGTTAGTTAGTTAGTTAGTTAGTTAGTTAGTTAGTAGTTAGTTAGTTAGTTAGTTAGTTAGTTAGTTAGTTAGTTAGTTAGTTAGTTAGTTAGTTAGTTAGTTAGTTAGTTAGTTAGTTAGTTAGTTAGTTAGTTAGTAGTTAGTTAGTTAGTTAGTTAGTAGTTAGTTAGTTAGTTAGTTAGTTAGTTAGTTAGTTAGTTAGTTAGTTAGTTAGTTAGTTAGTTAGTTAGTTAGTTAGTTAGTAGTTAGTTAGTTAGTTAGTTAGTTAGTTAGTTAGTTAGTTAGTTAGTTAGTAGTTAGTTAGTTAGTTAGTTAGTTAGTTAGTTAGTTAGTTAGTTAGTTAGTTAGTTAGTAGTTAGTTAGTTAGTTAGTTAGTTAGTTAGTTAGTAGTTAGTTAGTTAGTTAGTTAGTTAGTTAGTTAGTAGTTAGTTAGTTAGTTAGTTAGTTAGTTAGTTAGTTAGTTAGTTAGTTAGTTAGTTAGTTAGTTAGTTAGTTAGTTAGTTAGTTAGTTAGTAGTTTTAGTTAGTTAGTTAGTTAGTTAGTTAGTTAGTTAGTTAGTTAGTTAGTTAGTTAGTTAGTTAGTTAGTTAGTTAGTTAGTGGGATCGAACCCACAGCCTTCGTATTGATAATCGAGAACACTACCACCTGACCTATCCTATTCACCTTCATAATATATTACCCAAAGCTGGTCATGGTTTCTATCAACCGACAGATCTGACAAGATCAGATGCGAATTTATATTTATAATTTTGACAAATACTCAAAGTCTCATAAAAAATTGTGCAAAACTATTAACGATAACAACACTAACAAACACATCCATCTGACTTCATCGATATTCAACCCCTACTAATCATGCAATGATGTTGCAAATGATGCTTAATGATGAACCCGAAGTACAACTAATCTACAGCAACTAACTAACCACCAACAAACGAAAATTTGTTTTCAAGCAAGGAAAAGGCAAAAATAAAATAACAATCAAAATTTCACAGAATTATAAAACTTTATTAAAAATTCAAAAATTTATTTTAAAAATCCTCTAGCTGCTGCCGACAATGAAACCAAGAGACCTTTTGGAGAACCTTTAATGTTGCATAAGAAAATCCTAATGAATTCAACGGCACCAGCTGGTGGCAGTGGCAGCAATAATCCCAAAAATGTCAAACAACATTTAAAAACAGCTATAGCGTCTACAGGTGCAGCAAGAACTGCAACGACAGCTTTAACTGAAGCGAACACGAAACCAGTGAAAAAAGTTCGATTAAAACCTTGATACGCCCCACAAGAAAACCTTGGAAAACCTAGTCGTCCTTAGTGAATGTGTCTTCTGTAAGATGTGTTTTAGAAAAATTAAAATCCTTTACCTTGTTAGCGAAAAAATAAATCCTGCGAAAAAGTCCTGTGTTACAAACAAAAAAAATTAAGAAAAGCCTCAGAATAAATAGTTCTTTTAGAAAATATTTATAAATTAAAGAAAAAAATACGTAAATAAATTATAAAAATATATATTTTTTTAATTTTTAATTTTAATTTACTATAAATTATTTTGTTTTAATTAAATTATCACCTAAATTCATTATTTACTTGCAAAGATTTCCGTTTTGATTAAATTATTTATTTTGAAAAACATTTCATTTAAGCAAAAACCCAGCAAAATGTTTGTTTAATAAAACGTTTTTAATACTCTACATCTGAGACTAGATAATATATGGTCATTTTGCAAAAATGTTTGTTTTATATTAATTCCCTAAAACTAGGTAACATTTATTTTTAAAGTAGATTAAATATCATATTATTAAACTAAATTCATGGAATATTCTCGAATATATTTTTTAACTTTCTTAACTTTTTTGACAAATTTCAAAGTTTCTAAAGCAAATTTGTTGCTGGGTTTTTTATTGTAACAGCTGTAAAGTCCTATACGTTAGTAATTTGTCATAATGTATCCTTTTAATGTGTATTTTTTTCTAACTCTGGCAAATTTATTGAAATTCAATTAAATATCATTATATGGTTTTTATTTAAAATTAATGTTTTTTCTTTTTGTTGTAGTCTATCTAAACAGCATAATAATTTAACAATTATTTTTCATAATAATATTTACTTAAGCACTTTTTTGTTATTGTTGTAATTGTTATTATTATTTTTAGTTTTTTGTCTAATATAATATTTATAGCAAAAAAATGTATATTTATAATTTATTTGTTTTTTTTTAATATTTTTTTGTAAACAATATTTTTATTTAAACTTTATTATATGTATTCATATTGTTGCTGATTTCAGTTTTTTCTACTACTTTCTAATATTATGTTTTTCTCCTTTTCTATATAATTTGCATATTTTGTATAATATTTAATGATGATTGTAAATATTTATAAATGTATTCAGTATTTTGCATAATAAATTTAAATGTAATTCAAAAATAATTCTCTATAAATCTATTATTTAATAAACATTTTGTTTTTGTTATAGTTGTTTTTTCTTAACACAAACTCTATTCTGCATTCAACATAGAAAAACATATTAAATACATCTGCGTTTAAAAATTTTGAATTCAACAATCAATTTTCATTGAATGTTTTTATTTTATTTTATTTTAAAATATTCTAAATTCATATATATAAACTTGTCAACAGGAATACATAAATACTACGTATTTACGTCATACATACACACATTCATGCAATCAATAAAAACAAAAACAAACATTATTATTAAGTCGAATTTAATATGAAATTGCAACAATAACAATAATAATAGGGGAAGTATGATAAGTAAGAAAATTGTATCTTTAATTTCAATTTTTTCTATATCCTGGACTATAGACTATCCCATACTCTATACCCTATACTCTATGTCATAGACTAGTCTATACTCTGGACTATATACTAGTCTAAATCCTGGATTATAGACAAGTCTATACTTTAGACTATAGAATAATCTATACACTGAACTATAGACTAGTCTATACCCTGAACTATAGACTAGTATATTCTTTGAACGATAGACTAGCCTATAATATGGACTATGGACTAGTCTATAATCTGTACTAGTCCATACTCTAGTCTACTTTAGTCTATACTCTGGTCTAAACTCTAGACCATATATCAGTCTATACTCTAGACCATAGACCAATCTATACTCTATACCATAGGCCAGTCTATACTCTAGACCATAGACCAGTCTATACTCTAGACCATAGATCAGTCTATAATATGGACTATGGACCAGTCTATACTCTGGACTATAGACCAGTCTATACTCTGGACTATAGACCAGTCAATACTCTGGACTATAGACTAGTCTGTACTCTGGACTATAGACTAGTCTATACTCTGGAGTATAAACTTGTCTACACTCTGGACTATAGACTAGTCTATACTCTGAACTATAGACTAGTCTATACTCTGGACAATAGAGTAGTTTATAGTCTAGACTATAGACAAGTCCATACTTCGGACTATAGACTAGTCTATACTCTGGACTATAGACTAGTCTATATACTAGAGTATTCTCTTGACTATAGACTAGTCTAAACTTCGGGCTATAGACTAGACTATACTCTAAACTATAGCCTAGTCTATACTCTGAACTATAGACTAATTTATACTCTGGACTATGGACTAGTCTATACTCTGGCCTATAGACTAGTCTATATTCTAGACTATCGACTAGTTTGTAATCTTGACTATGGACTAGTCTGGACTATAGAATACTCTATATTCTGGAATATATATAATTATATACTCTAGCCTAGTCTAGTCTATACTCTGAACCATAGACTAGTCTATACTCTGTACTATAGACCAGTCTATACTCTGGACTATAGACTACTCTATACTCTGGAATATAGACTAGTCTATACTCTGGACCATAGACTAGTCTATATTCTGAACTATAGACTAGTCTATACTTTGGACTATAGACTAGTATGTACTCTGGATTTTAATAAAAAATTCACTTAAACGTCAAAGTTTTAAAGAAAAGTAGACTTTCAATAAAAGGTAATATTTGAAATCAAAATAGTTTTTTATAAAAATTTTAAATTTCGATTTTAGAAATTTTATAGAGGAAATACTTCATATTCAAGATCTAAATCGCTAAAAAACTTTAATAAATTCGATTTTTTTCATGTTAAAAAAATATTTCAAGGGCTTCACTAGGCGTATACTTCATATTTGTAATATCAATAAATCATTAACACGTATACGTACAGTTGTCGTTATGAAAACAGTGCAATTTCGCAATGTAAAACTTTTCACTTATTTTGTGTATTTTGTCGCGTAGGGGTGTCCATATGTGGTTATATTTCCCTGGCGTAAAAAATTTCACAAAGTGTATTTGTTTCAAAGCTCATAAGATTCTTTAAAAATATTTTTTAAGTAAATATTTGTTATTATACTAAATATTTAAATTAAACTTTAAGCTCATACTTCCCTTGTTAGCAAAATTTACAAAAAAACACAAACAAAAAACTCTAATTTTTAAGCAAATCCTCTGAACAATTCCCAGCTTTTCAAAAATTTCAACACTCTAACACTTAGCAAGAGAAAAACTTTACCCGCTTAACTTTATAAAACTAAACTACTACTTCTACTACTACACGGGCACAAACAACACTGGTGTTAATTTGTTTCTTTAATTAAAATTTAATTCAATGTTATATATTTTGTTCGTCTACTTACACAATTACTTTTCCCTACTTTTACTATTTTACTCTAATCTTGCAACAGAAAATAAAAAACTTCAAACTTTTTCACTTGAATTTATGTTTCACTTGTTTTGTACAGAATAAAAATTTAAAAACTTTAAATTAAATGTAGTTAATGGCTCTATTATTATTATCTTTATAAATAATATTTAATATTTTAAACAAACATTTATATGAAAATAATTATATTAATATTATCGTTTTTATTGCATTAAATTTATTTTCTTTGAAAAAAATAAAAAAAAAAACAAACAACAATATGCTGCTCATTATTAAATAAAAATCATCATCAATCATCATACAAAATATAAAAAAAAATATCTAAAAAAAAAAACACTAACAAACTACAACACTAAAACAAACAACAAAAATTATTTTAAATGGGTGTCCAATCAAAAACCCAACACGTTTGCAATTGAAATTGAAACCAAAAAAAATAAAAATAAATAGCACCCCATTCACCAAGAAGACAAAAATTAAATTTACGCATGAAATCCCTGAGTTTGGATTCACCCGAATCATCAGAATTACATGGACAAATGAGACGTAGACAACCGGCAGCCGGCCCCTCAACCACGGGTGCCTCCAGCAGTTATTATCATGGAGGTTCGGGTGGCCATTTAGAGCACAGTACACCACCATCCAATAATAGTCGTTTGCATTGTAAGTAATTTATTTCTTTGATTTCTATTGCTCCCCCACCTCCACTTACACTGTCTCTCTCTCACATTACTTGTGCTACAAAAAATAAAATATAGAAAAAAAAGAAAACAAAAATCTACCACTTCCCCTAATTGTATTTTTTTAATTGTCGTCACCATTATTAAACTGAATTATTGATGTTGTGAAAATTTCAGAAGAAAAAAATATCAAACTCCTCCACCCTCTCAAGAATCCTTTAATTTATTTGTTTTTAATCTCTAATAATTGTGAATTGTGTGTGTGTGTATTGATTTTTAAACCTTTAATAATAACAACTACAAGAGGAATGTTAAGAATTCTACTTAGTTTAAGGTTTTATAAACCCCTTTATAAGCCCCTACAGGGTTCGATTTCTTACTTACCGACCGACTACAAATTGACACTTTACATTTTCAAATCATTTCATTGCAAATCGCATCGTAAAAATTTGACCCTGTATATAGCTAAAACTTACTAATTACAACTTACTTTAAATAAACAATTATTTTGTTATAAAGTAGTTAGTTAATGTAGAACATTTGTTAACATTTTTATCGTTACTACTAATTTAATACAAATTAAAATATTTACTAAATGCATTTTTTTTTTCTAACAAAAATAACTTATAAGCCCTTTTATTATAAAACTAATGGTAATAATGTGCAGCATTGGTAGCATCTGTACTTTTCTATCGTAATAATATGTTTCAAACACTAGAGAGTCAACTTTTATATAATCTACTCAAAATATTGCTTGAGTTGTAAGCATCAGCAACATGTTTTATTTTTTTCATTTATGAAGAAGAGTCTTATTTTACTAAAAAAAATCCTTTAATATTTTAACCAGTTCTTATTAGCAATGACTTTCTTCCATACTCGACTAGTATATAGATTAAACTTGTTCATAACGACTAGACCATAGACTAATACATAGTTTAGTCTATATGCTAGTCCAAAGATTAGTCTACAGACTTGACCATAGATTGATCTATAGACTAGTCCATAGAATAGTTTACAGACTAGTCTATACACTAGTCCACAGATTAGTCTATAGATTAGTATATAGACTAGTCTATAGATTAATATATAGACTAGTCCATAGATTGATCCATAGACTAGACCATAGATTGATCAATAGACTAGTCCATAAAATAGTCTACAGACTAGTCCATGCACTAGTCTAGACAAGTCCATAGATTAGTCTATAGACTATTTAGTCCATAGATTAGTCTACAGACTAGTCCATTGGCTAGTCTATACACTATACACAGTTTAGTCTATAGACTAGTCCATGGATTAGTATATAGACTAGTCCACAGATTGATCTATAGACTAGTCCACAGATTAGTCTACAGTCAAGTCCATAGATTAGTATATAGACTAGTCCACAGATTAGTCTATAGACTAGTCCATAGATTTGTGTACAGACTAGCCCAGAAATTAGTCTATAGACTAGTCCACAGAATAGTCTTCAGGCTAGTCTATAGATTAGTCTATAGACTAGTCTATAAATTAGTCTATAGATTAGTCTATAGACTAGTCTATAAATTAGTCTATAGACTAGTCTATAGATTAGTCTATAGACTAGTCTATAGATTAGTCTATAGACTAGTCTATAGATTAGTCTATAGACTAATCCATATATTTGTCTATTGACCAGTTCATAGATTAGTATATTGACCAGTCGACAGATTTGTCTTTAGACTAGTCCATATATTAGTCTATAAAATAGTCCATAGGTTAGTCTATAGAATAGTTCATAGATTGGTATATCAACTAGTCCACAGATTAGTCTTTAGACTAGTCCATAGATTAGTCTACAGACCAGTCCATAAATTCGACTATAGACTAGTACACAGAAAAGTCTTCAGACTAGTCCACAGATTAGTCATTAGACTAGTCCATAGATTAGTCTATAGACTACTCATAGATAGGTATATAAACAAGTCTATAGGTTAGTCTAATCTATGGTAATTTCATGAAATTTTAAAAACTTAAACTTAAAAAACTTCAACAAAACATTTTCGAAATTTCCCAAATTTTACTTAAATATTTTATTTGTATAAAGTTGACTCTCTATCATGTTTTTAAAAATCAAACAGTATCTCTGGACTCTAGATATTTTCAACTTTTATAACAAACCAAACTTACTTTTTAAATAAAATATAATTTTGAGTTTTTAAATTAAAATCAATCAAAAAACAATTCCTTCTTAATTCTCAAAAACATTATCCCTTGTGTTCGTTCTAACAGTTTTCCTCTTAAAATTCCTTTTTAGTTACCAACTCCCTTTTAGTTTAATTTTACGCATGAACTAATTTTGTAACATTTAGTTACACAGTATTATATTCAGTTTGATTTGTTAAACATTAATTTTTAGTTTTTATTTTTTTGATTTAAATATTTTATTTAAAAATCCTAAGCACGTTTTATTTAATTTAACTCAATGATTTTTGCACCAGGTTTACTAGTTACTCAGCCAATGGGTAATGAATAACAATAATAATGATAATAATTCATAAAATATATAATTTTTAAACACAAAATATTACAGCTCCCTCTAGTCCCTCGCATCAGGGTCGTAAGTTGTTGTATGCCAGTCGTGGCATGCGTGGCGGCAGTGTGGACTTACCCGATGAAATGGAAAAGTCGCAATCATCGGCCAGTACTTCACCCTGTCCCTCCCCAGTAAGATATTTTCAGGTATTTTTTAAATATATATTTTTTTTATTTGTTAAAAAACAAACCAACTAACGATCAACAAATAGAAATTGGTAACTTACATATATAATTTTTATTTACTACTACTTTTTATATTCTTTATAATATTATAATATTTTAAGAGAATGTTTTTATAAATTATATTTATTTCTTTTTTTTTTCCTAGAAATCACATCGTCTGTTGCCCACAAATTTATATGTCATACTGTACAATTTCAAAGCCAGACATGCTGATGAGTTGGATTTAAAGGCGGGTTATAAAGTAAGTGTAATTTGTTTGTAATATCAGCTATTTATGTATATTTATATACTTATTATATTTACACAAGTATATGTATATCTGTACTTGACCTCTTAATATGAATCTGTATGATTATTGTACATTTTACATTAACTTTTCTAAATAATTCCTTCCTACTGTGTTTTCATATACACAAAGGATGTGTATGTGTTTCTGTGTCCGAATACAATCATATCAATTTGGTAATATCTCTTTGGTTACAATTCTACCACAATGCTAAAATCCAAAAACCCCTTAGGGTATCACATTTTTTTTTTTTTTTTGTGTGTAAATGTATCTGTCGGAATGTATATTGGCCTGTGTACTGAAGACTGTATAATCTTGCAATCATGTTGTGTTTGAAAAAAAAAATCCAAATCTTTTGAAATAACATTAAACATAATAAAACATATGTTACTTACTTCTACAAATACGAAAATAAGCATTTGTACAGAGGTTTACAAATTTGAGATTTAAGAAAAAAAGTACTAAAAGTACTTATGAAAAAAAAAAATTAACAAAAAATGGAGCCAGCGATAAATTTGAGAAAAAGTACCAAATAATAAGTTACCAAATTTTATCTCTTTTTCTTTGAAGGTATTACACTAAATATCTGATTACATTTCATCACTAATGTACCAAGAAAGTATTTTTCTGTAAACTTATATTAAAAAGTCTGTACATATGTACACATTTCACATTAGTATTTAAAATGTCTTAGTCTGCATTTTCGTTGACCAAAAGCATTAGAAAACATTTCACAATCAAGTTAACATCTTTCTCCCATGTTTTCCAACCAAAAACCAAACAGTTTCATAAAAGTAGCAGCAAAAAACGTATAACATATGTTTATACCCATGTGGTATTGGCAGCGTTTAGCCAAAATCTAAACAATATTTCCCTAGGCAAATAGTCATAAATACACATACACATACATATTGCTCTCCTTTTTATATTTTTATATAAAATTTATTTATAACCAGCATTTCATTTCGTTTGCCATCCAATGATGTGTGGTCAAAGAGAATCCTGCAGTGGGCGGGGGGGTGGTGGTGTGTAAAATCGAATAAAAATTGTATCGACCTCTTAACATTAACTATGAGGCTTATTATTTTAATATGTAACCGGTAGGTTAGTGTTCTAGTCTTGCAGATACACTAGTTAGTTACTTAGTTAGTTAGTTAGTTAGTTTACTTAGTTAATTAGTTAGTAGTTAGTTAGTTAGTTAGTTAGTTAGTTTGTTAGTTAGTTAGTTTGTTAGTTAGTTAGTAGTTAGTTAGTTAGCTAGTTAGCTAGTTAGCTAGTTAGTAGTTAGTTAGTTAGTTAGTTAGTTAGTTAGTTAGTTAGTTAGTTAGTTAGTTAGTTAGTTAGTTAGTTAGTTAGTAGTTAGTTAGTTAGTTAGTTAGTTAGTAGTTAGTTAGTTAGTTAGTTAGTTAGTTAGTTAGTTAGTTAGTTAGTTAGTTAGTTAGTTAGTTAGTTAGTTAGTTAGTTAGTTAGTAGTTAGTTAGTTAGTTAGTAGTTAGTAGTTAGTTTAGTTAGTTAGTTAGTTAGTTAGTTAGTAGTTAGTTAGTTAGTTAGTTAGTTAGTTAGTTAGTTAGTTAGTTAGTTAGTTAGTTAGTTAGTTAGTTAGTTAGTTAGTTAGTTAGGTAGTTAGTTAGTTAGTAGTTAGTTAGTTAGTTAGTTAGTTAGTTAGTTAGTTAGTTAGTTAGTTAGTTAGTTAGTTAGTAGTTAGTTAGTAGTTAGTTAGTTAGTTAGTTAGTTAGTTAGTTAGTTAGTTAGTAGTTAGTTAGTTAGTTAGTTAGTTAGTTAGTTAGTTAGTTAGTAGTTAGTTAGTTAGTTAGTTAGTTAGTTAGTTAGTTAGTTAGTTAGTTAGTTAGTTAGTAGTTAGTAGTTAGTTAGTTAGTTAGTTAGTTAGTTAGTTAGTTAGTTAGTTAGTTAGTTAGTTAGTTAGTTAGTTAGTTAGTTAGTTAGTTAGTTAGTTAGTTAGTAGTTAGTTAGTTAGTTAGTTAGTTAGTTAGTTAGTTAGTTAGTTAGTTAGTTAGTTAGTTAGTTAGTTAGTTAGTTAGTTAGTTAGTTAGTTAGTTAGTTAGTTAGTTAGTTAGTTAGTTAGTTAGTTAGTTAGTTAGTTAGTTAGTTAGTTAGTTAGTTAGTTAGTTAGTTAGTAGTAGTTAGTTAGTTAGTTAGTTAGTTAGTTAGTTAGTTAGTTAGTTAGTTAGTTAGTTAGTTAGTTAGTTAGTTAGTTAGTTAGTAGTTAGTTAGTTAGTTAGTTAGTTAGTTAGTTAGTTAGTTAGTTAGTAGTTAGTTAGTTAGTTAGTTAGTTAGTTAGTTAGTTAGTTAGTTAGTTAGTTAGTTAGTTAGTTAGTTAGTTAGTTAGTTAGTTAGTTAGTTAGTTAGTTAGTTAGTTAGTTAGTTAGTTAGTTAGTAGTTAGTTAGTTAGTTAGTTAGTTAGTTAGTAGTTAGTTAGTTAGTTAGTTAGTTAGTTAGTTAGTTAGTTAGTTAGTTAGTTAGTTAGTTAGTTAGTTAGTTAGTTAGTTAGTTAGTTAGTTAGTTAGTTAGTTAGTAGTTAGTTAGTTAGTTAGTTAGTTAGTTAGTTAGTTAGTTAGTTAGTTAGTTAGTTAGTTAGTTAGTTAGTAGTTAGTTAGTTAGTTAGTTAGTTAGTTAGTTAGTTAGTTAGTTAGTTAGTTAGTTAGTTAGTTAGTTAGTTAGTTAGTAGTTAGTTAGTTAGTTAGTTAGTTAGTTAGTTAGTTAGTTAGTTAGTAGTTAGTTAGTTAGTTAGTTAGTTAGTAGTTAGTTAGTTAGTTAGTTAGTAGTTAGTAGTTAGTTAGTTAGTTAGTTAGTTAGTTAGTTAGTTAGTTAGTTAGTTAGTTAGTTAGTTAGTTAGTTAGTTAGTTAGTTAGTTAGTTAGTTAGTTAGTTAGTTAGTTAGTTAGTTAGTAGTTAGTTAGTTAGTTAGTTAGTTAGTTAGTTAGTTAGTTAGTTAGTTAGTTAGTTAGTTAGTTAGTTAGTTAGTTAGTTAGTTAGTTAGTTAGTTAGTTAGTTAGTTAGTTAGTTAGTAGTTAGTTAGTTAGTTAGTTAGTTAGTTAGTTAGTAGTTAGTTAGTTAGTTAGTTAGTTAGTAGTTAGTTAGTAGTTAGTTAGTTAGTTAGTTAGTTAGTTAGTTAGTTAGTTAGTTAGTTAGTTAGTTAGTTAGTTAGTTAGTTAGTTAGTTAGTTAGTTAGTTAGTAGTTAGTTAGTTAGTTAGTTAGTTAGTTAGTTAGTTAGTTAGTTAGTTAGTTAGTTAGTTAGTTAGTTAGTAGTTAGTTAGTTAGTTAGTTAGTTAGTTAGTTAGTTAGTTAGTTAGTTAGTAGTTAGTTAGTTAGTTAGTTAGTTAGTTAGTTAGTTAGTAGTTAGTTAGTTAGTTAGTTAGTTAGTTAGTTAGTTAGTTAGTTAGTTAGTAGTTAGTTAGTTAGTTAGTTAGTAGTTAGTTAGTTAGTTAGTAGTTAGTTAGTTAGTTAGTTAGTTAGTTAGTTAGTTAGTTAGTTAGTTAGTTAGTAGTTAGTTAGTTAGTTAGTTAGTAGTTAGTTAGTTAGTTAGTTAGTTAGTTAGTTAGTTAGTTAGTTAGTTAGTTAGTTAGTTAGTTAGTTAGTTAGTTAGTTAGTTAGTTAGTTAGTTAGTTAGTTAGTTAGTTAGTTAGTTAGTTAGTTAGTTAGTTAGTTAGTTAGTTAGCTATCGACTATCCGTTCCAAGGTTTTAAGTAGGAAGGACGTAAGACTTATCGGTCGATAGGACTTAGGTGTCGCATAGCTAGGTTTCCCTGGTTTGGGTATAAATATTACCTTTGCATCCTGCCATTTAACTGGGGTATATGCCAATTTTAAGCATGCAGTGAATATCTGTGACAGATGTACGGAAACCAGTCCCGCCTCCATCTGCAAAAGTGCCGGGAAAATTCCATCCGGCCCTGCAGCTTTATAGGGAGCAAAGCTCTTGATTGCCCCTTTAACCATGTCAGTTGTAATATCTATTTCCGTGTTACCCTCCCCTTCCTCCAATATCGGTTCATCTATGTTATTCGATATACCGGGTGGGAAATGAGAATCCATTAGGAGTTTCATTGTCTCCTCCATATCCTCAAGCCTCCTGCCCGTGTCATCGATCATAGATTCCGGTTGGACATGAGTTTTGGATAGGAATTTTTTTATCTTCGATACGTCATTTACGCTATCTACCTGTTCACAGAAAAGTTTCCAGGAGTCTCGTTTGGCTTTTCGAACGATTTTCTTATATTCACCAAGTTTATTACGATACTCATCCCAGTATACTGCGGTCTTTTTACGCCGTGCCCGGTTAAATAGTTTGCGAAGAGTCTTCCCAAGGTTCCGGATCTCCCCAGTTACCCAGGGTTTTTCCTGGGCAGATCTCCGCTCTCGCAGAGGGCAGCTGTCCTCGAACGATTCAACCAGGGCACTTGTGAACGTTTCCACTTTGGCATCTATATCCTCTTTATTTCGACATTGAAAAGTATCCTGACCTAAACGGTTCTTTAGTAAGGCCCCGAACATTGTCCAATTAGTTTTAGACTTATTCCGAAACTTTATCGGCTTTGGTGGTGGCCTTAGTATTTTGAATCTTATGTACCGATGATCAGAAAAGGAGTGCTCGTCCGAAACTCTCCAATCCTGAATTTCGTTTATAAGCTCTTCTGAACATATAGTTATATCTAATACTTCTTCTCTGATTCTATTGACGAAGGTAGCTTTATTACCTAAGTTCAATGTTATCAAGTCTTTAGTATTAAAGAAATCCATGAGGGCTTGTCCCCTGCGATTGGTGTTTGTACTACCCCAAGCTACATGATGCGAGTTGGCATCACAACCTATTACAATTTTCTTATTTTTCCTTTGTGCCTCTTCAACCAGTTTCATCAGATCCGACGTTGGTGGTAGGGTCGGAGAATCGAAAGGCAGGTAAATAGATGCAAGGAATATGTTGCCTCGACCTTGCTTCGGCACCGTTGCATCCGATGTTGATAATCCTGTTGAGAGGAGAAAACATAAGTTCTTTTTTTTTTTTTTTTTTTTTTTTTTTTTTTTTCTTGAATTGGAGCGCACAACAGGCCCGATAGTGGCCTAGGTGTATTTCTTCGGATTTGATGTAGTATACATCCTCCTATCAACCTACCTACCTACCTACCTAGTTAGTTAGTTAGTTAGTTAGTTAGTTAGTTAGTTAGTTAGTTAGTTAGTTAGTTAGTTAGTTAGTTAGTTAGTTAGTTAGTAGTTAGTTAGTTAGTTAGTTAGTTAGTTAGTTAGTTAGTTAGTTAGTTAGTTAGTTAGTTAGTAGTAGTTAGTTAGTTAGTTAGTTAGTAGTTAGTTAGTTAGTTAGTTAGTTAGTTAGTTAGTTAGTTAGTTAGTTAGTAGTTAGTTAGTTAGTTAGTTAGTTAGTTAGTTAGTTAGTTAGTTAGTTAGTTAGTTAGTTAGTTAGTTAGTTAATTAGTTAAAATAACATAAACTAAATATTCTACCGTAACTTTTTAATATTAAAATTTTTTCTACCAGAAAATTTTATTTTAATTTTTACTCCTACGAATGAAATCGTTATTTTCAAGACTTGTACACACTTTCATTGTCGTTCTTCATCCGCACTCAAAAATCTTTGTTGGGTAAATATTTTATTGCAAAAGTTTTGTCAGTTGTAAATTATTTTAATTTTCGATTACTCCAGGGAAAATAAACTGACAATAGTTAAACATACCACAACAAAATTTATTTAGAGTTGAATTAAAATTATATTTAAAAAAAAACATATTTAACTCTTTTTTTCAAAAGAAAAAATACAAAAATTTAATTTCACCCTTGTTCTTCGACACCAACATTAACCACTAAAAACAAGAAAAAAGGAAAGAACTGAAAGTTTTCTTCAAAATCAGGTCAATAGAATTGCAAAACAAAGAAATGAAAAGTAAAAAATGAAGAAAAACAATGATTACGAAAGACACAATTCCTTCCGTTTTTTTGCTATTTGAACATCTCAAAATAACCATAAAATAATGGCAGAAATGGACACAATTGTAGATGATAGTAAAAACAACAACGACTTGCAACTGTAGCAGCAGCAAAAACAAAAACAACAGTGAAAATAACAAGAAATAACTAAAGGCACAATTGACATTATCTGGTGAATATTTTTAACTACGCAATCAAGTCATGTTTACTTCCTTTTTAAACATGTTCATTGTAATTTCTACTGCTTGGTTCCACTTCGTTTCTCACTCCCTCTTTTGGTCGCTTACTCGGTCCTTTTGAAAATCTGACAAAAAGTGGCAAAAAGACCCGCATTAAAGCAATAAAGAAGACAAGTATTTGCAAACCAGAGAACCCACAGCACTAAAGGCGGTAAATTGCAACGGAAAAAGATTCCTTTGGCACGTGTGCAATGGTTGGATGGATGAATGAATGGCTGGATAGCATTGTGCTATTCCAACCAATCTACCACTTTAACATTTCCTCTTATCAATTTTTGTTATTATTGTTGTTGCTGCTGTTGTTGTCTATGTCTTTAACATTTTATGAGGGAAATTTGTGTACATACACAACTGCCATTCAGTTGCCTGGCGGACAATCAATGGTAATGTAAACATACTCTCTCATCCTGCTCATATTCTTCATCAATTCAATGCGAATGCTACTGTTACAACACTCACACATTTACTCGACAATCTCAATCTCGACATTGTAACGGAAAGTATTTACAAATGAATGAAAAATAAAAAGGAGTCAAGTTATAATGAAGAAGCGGAGAGGAAGAGCGGATGAGGCCATATTTGAGTGGCATATAAATATTATCATTTCTTCTTATTTATTATATTGAATGAGCCAGCAACCTCTCTGAATTACCTGTTACACCTGTACGTATTTGTAATTTTCATTAAAGTCCTTAAGCCAATATGGTCAAGTGTTTAATGTTTGTGTCCTTCATATACAGCAACAATAACATGCATTGTTTTCCCTCTTTGCTGTACATAGTGGTTTAATTGATATGAATACGATTTCCAGTCAGTTAGTCAGTCAATCATTACAGCAAATATTTTATCATTTATTTAAATTTGTTTTTTCTCATTTGTTTTTCAGGTTACTGTTATTGATACTTCGGATCCTGATTGGTGGAAGGGTAAAGTATTGGGTCGTGTTGGCTATTTTCCCTCCAAGTATTGTGTGCGTTTGAATGCCAACGAGAAACCTTTGCAAGTTACACACAATTTGCAAGTGTCAGATGGTGAACGTGGAGAAAATATGACTTTATTAAGGGATCAAATTGTTATTCAAGTAAGATATTTATTATTTATTTAAAATTCCTTACGTCTAGTGTAAAATCTTGTTCGCTTAACATTTTTACTCGTTTGCTATCAAATCTTTTTCAGACTGGTGACGAGGTTAATGGTATGGTTATGGTACGCTCAGCTGACAATCGTCAGGGCTATTGCCCTGTCAAGTACTTGCAAGAGGTGTGACAGCCCGAAGACCCATCATCTGAACGCGATAAACCGCCACACAAATCTTCTTTGTCCTCGAAATTGATCGATAAGACCAAACGTAAAATACGCATTGTCGTTACCGACAGCGGTGGCGGTCAAACCAATTACAACAATTTCACAGGCAAAGATAAAATCGAACCGAAAAACACAAATGTCGACTACAATGGCGATTATGATTTGACGAAAACCTTAACCTTTTCGTTAGATGGCAGCGGGCGCAGTAAAAACGATAAGAATTGGGAAAATTGGGAGCGTATTAGGGAACAGAAATTGGAACGTATGAAAAATATTTGCTTTGAGAGTTACCGTCAATCGAAGAAGGATAGAATGTATCCACCCAAACCCATACCACGACAACTAGACCCAACTTGGTACACGGACAATATTTACTCGAACAAATCCGAGGACCTAGATGACGACTATGTACCGGACTGCATTAAGTACGCGAGTAATTATCGTAAATTGAGAAATATACGCGAGCATGACGAACTATTTTTGGAAGATGACTTTGTGGGTGGGGGCATAGGGGCTGAATATCAGGGCGGTCCTCTTAAGGAGAGAAGAGGAGAAGGTGAGGGTTCCGCCAGTTATGGTCTGCATCGCTCTATTAGTTGTAAGGAGTTCCATTATCCCAAATCACAAAGTTGTACTTTTGCCGAACGTATCTTTGAGGAGGGCTTAGGCAGTTCGCCACCTCCCCCTGCACCCACTGCACCGCCTACTACTTCTATACTTAAAAAAGCCAATGTGCCAAAATCATATTCATTCAGTGCTTCGACCAAAACCACGCCATTCGATGTCATGGACTATGAGGTTCCACCTTCCATTGGTAAATCACGACGTGACCGACATGATGCCTTCCGCAAATCTATGGGTTATCATTGTAGTAATAGTTTAGATGAGACAGCGCTAACGACGGCTCACGAGGCACACACCTGCTGTGCCCGAGAGCACTGTACCAACGCCAAGTGTTTGTTGGATGACATCTACACCGAAGGGTTCGGTTCTGTGCCACGACGAACATGGCGTAGAGTTGCGCCCTCCACCTCGTCGCTGTCTGGTTTTTATGGTGCTAGTGTCAGTGGTGGTAGCAACAGAAACTTGCACGATTTGGACTGGTGGGAGGATGGAAGAGGCACGAATCATCGGGTGGCAACGGCTTCTCGCTACTCTCTGCTCTCGGGGGGAAGTCAACGTGAGCAGCCACTGCCGCCGCCACCCACGGTGATATGTTGCTGTGCCGCCGATGACTATTGCTACCACCGCCAACAACAGTACCACTTGGCCAGATCTTTAGCCCATCAACAGCAGCAGCAACAACAACCGCAACCACCGCCTCGCTCTCGCTATCACTGCCCCGGTCATCATCCGGCCGCCGAAGAAGAAGAACATCTGCACTGTCGTGCCGTGGCCTACGATACTGATTTGGATCATTTCATACGCGATGAAAGAGAACGTCTTCTCATGCAGGACAAATTCTTAGATGAAGACGAACGCTACTTATCATCAGGTGCTCCTAGACGCACCGCTTATTCACGTTACCCTCGTCCTGCCAGAAGCAAATCACTTTTAGAGGTACAACCGCCCAGCCGTTACGATGAAGACTCTTGTTCAGACACCACAGAAATGGACCTGCAAGACTTCAACATAGACCTGGAAAAGTACTGGGAAGAATTGGAAAAGCCTCCCAGCCCCATTGACTTGGACATGCAACGCCGCAATATGCACAGCAATTTGAAGGTGAAAAATGTCAATGTTGGTTGTTACAACAATGGACAACCTATTGATTTGCACGATCGCGAACAAGAACGTATGATGATTAAGAAATCACTTTTGGAAGGTATGCCATCACCACCTCAGGTCGACCACCATCCCTCGCACGCCTCATCACTGCCTACCGACGCTAACAATGCCGCTTCAAGTAGTTTTCATTTTTTTGAACATGCTGGCTCGCCCCTACACCGCTCCTTCAACTACGGCCACAAGGTCTACCCGGCAGCCGAAACGCTGCCCTCCTACCAGTACAACAACTTCTATCCCGAACATCACAATGTCCAAACCCAACAGCCTACTAGTTCTGGCCATCATCCTGCAGCCGGTGGCCATTCGGCTTTAAATCTCATCAATAATATCTTCTCCATTTATAAGCCCAACAAATATGCAGCCCAGAACTCCGCACACTACAACAACAACGATACAAAACCCGAGCCTTGCAAAAAAATGAATGTACCCAGCACTAGACGTCCATTAGGGGCATCCCATTCCGAGTATATGCACTCCATGAAGCGTCCGCTTATTGTTAGCACCGAGCAACCCCATTTTAAGATTATACCCGAAAAGACCGGTCTTAAGATATCACCCTTTTATAACTATGACGAATTTGAGGACAAACCACAACAACAGACACGACTGAAGCTGACCAGTACAGCACGACCGTTAATGCTTCCGCACTGATGGTGCTGGACATTTCCGTGGTATGGGGGTTGCTAGTATTTACTTCAAATGTTACTATTACTACAACAAAAAATGCAGTTGTTGCTGTTGTTGCTGTTACAACAAAAGCAGCGGCAGCAGCACTTGCCAACAAACTTTAACATCAATATCAACATCTTCATCAGCGACTCCAGGGATCAAAAACTTTTATAAAATAAAGACAAACAAAAAAACACGTTTCTTCAAAATCATTATGACGTCATTGAAATTCTTCTGTTGTTTTTCCTCTTTACAAAATGTTTAAACTTAAAATCATTTATAATCGAAGATGCCGGCATTATTGTTTAGACTCAAGATAAATAGAATTTTGAATATTCTTTACAAAACTTTTACTAGTTGGACAATTAGTTTTAGGGCGCCATTTCAGTTTAGAGTCGAGGTAATGATGTTTGTTGAAAAATATCACCTCGAAACTGGTTGTGCAGAAACGTTATGGAAATGACATTGATTCTAAGAAATACTTAGTTCAGGATTAAGTTATTTAATCAATGATTTTCTTTCGAATTTGTCATTATCGGACTTCTTTAGAATAAATCTTGAACTGTGTTTTTTTTTTTTCTATGATTTTTGCTTTGAAATTGTTACGATTAGGATTAATTTAGTGATAAAGTTGAAGAATTATCATTTCGATCGATTATATTTCAAAAACTTAATCACGAAAAATTCAGGAGACTAGATAAAAAGTCAAAACCCAAAGACCAGTTTATAAATTTCCCCGTTGAATCTGACCTCACACTGAAGTTTGAAAATAATATTTGTTTCAAGTTTTAGTTTGAAATATCTAGAGAAAAAGAGAAGATAAAACGAAGGTTAAACATTTATTTTTAAAATTGGGAGATTGGACATTCAGCTCATAAAGCGTGATCCCTTTCGAGGTTCCCTATATTTTTAAAGAAAAAAAAATTCAAATTTAATGGAGAATGTTTATTATAATTTGAAAGAACATTCTTTGGCATTTATTCTTTGAAGATTATGTCTATCAAATGTTGGCCGTTGCTACATCGCAGATGGTCCTTCCGTTGAGTCCAATTTTCGATGACTCGTTCGAGCATTTCGACTGATAACTGGCGAATGACACGCGTTAAATTAACTAAACTTTAGACTTTAGATATCCCCACAGGAAAAAGTGTAACGGTGTGATAACACACGATCTTGGTGGCTAATCGACCGGCCCAAAACGTGAAATTAGGATCTCACCAAAATGTTCTCTCAATAAATCTATTGATTGGTGCGATGTGTGGAAGTGTCGCCGTCTTACTGAAACCAAATGTCACCGAGATCACGAGCTTCTATTTCAGGCATCAAATAGTCGGTTATCATGCCACGATAACGGTCGCCATTGACGGTTTTAAAGAAATGTAGACCGTTGATTCCACCGACACACAAACAACACCAAACCGTGTTTTTTTCTGGATGAAGTGGCAGTTCTTGAATCTCTTCAGACTGATCTTCGTCCCAAATTCGGCAATTGAGCCAGAAATGGGCCTCATCGCTAAACAAAATTTGCCTCGAAAACGTCGATTCTTTTTGGAACTTTTCAAGAGCCCATAGAGCGAAGCGATCGAGCGGCTTCAGTTGTGAAATGTCAAACAATACTAAGCAAACCTAATATCACAGCATGACACGACACAGACTTGATCTTTCAAAAACAGGCTATTAAAAAAAGTACCTCTACTTGAATCACCCATTATAACAATCTTTACAAAGATTTCTACGTTCTGTTGCAATGCCCCTAATATGGCTGAAAATGGGAGGTTTATGAATCAAATCTTTAGAATAAGAATATTTTGAGTCTCTACAATTTTGTTGGCACTTAACATAATCCCATGCACTCTAAGCTCCCAATAATAGAAAGAAAAATATAATAATTTGGATTATAATTAGAAAGAATGAAATGTGACCAGTCTGATGATGGATGTGCAAATAAATTAATTAAAAAAAGAGACAAAAGAAACGTTAAAAGCAAAAAACATACCATTGGAAATGAATTGATTAAGAAAAAAAAAAACAGAAATAAGAATAATTAAAATCCAAAACTTTAAAATTATACAAAAAAAACTATGTGATGAACTTTTCGATAAAACTCATTAAACCACAAAACGGCTAAAAAGAAACATAATGCATTTTTATCCTTCCAAGTACTAACGATGACTAACAAAAAATATATAAAAATATACACGAAAACATAAGAATGAAAGAAAGATATGAAAATATTTTTTTGCTCAAAACTGTGACAGAGTGTGAGTTCTCAAATGATGGTAGAAGAGTTTGAGGAGCCCCACTTAAACCAAAACATTCCATTATTTAATAATAACAAAAAAAAACACTAAAACAACAAAGCGCTCAAATTTTTCCAATTCTTAAAAAACCAAAAAACTAACAAATAATACAAAATAATTAAACAATCAACCAAATAGTATTACAAAACAACAAAAACTTAAATAAAATAAAACTTATTTGTTAAAACAGCAGATTTCCTTTTGTCATTTTCTTACCAACTAAAACTATAAAATACAAAAAAAATCCATTTAAAATATAAAAAAAAATAATAAAATTAAATGTAACACAACAAACAAAAAAGAAGTACTTTTTTTAAAAAAACCAACATTTTTTCGAGAAATTTTTCAAATACTTTTTTCTATTTTTATACCATCAAACTTAAATATTAAATAAAAAAAAAAAACATTTTAAATAATATTTATGAAAAGTTTAAATATAAATTAACTTATGTAACAAACAAATTTAAACCTCGTACTTAAATAAAAACCAAAATATAAAAAACTTAAAAAGAAAAACCAAAACTTTTAAATTTTTAAATGTATTTCAAATTTGTAAAAATGTTTTTCTTCCCTAACAACCAACAAAAAAAAAACTCATGCAACAATTTTAACTGCATTGTAGTACTTTCTTTAAAACCAATTTTTTTTCTTTTCTTTTTTGTATAAAACCACACAAAAAAAACAAATAAAAAATATTATATAAAGTATCAAACTAAAATAATGCTAAAGAAAATACATTAAATTATAATAAATGAAAAAAAAATATTCAAAACGTTTTTAATAAATTACAAAACAGCACTAAATAATAGAAGAAAAAAACAACAAAAATAAAAATAAATCATTTTGAAGCACAGTTTTTTATTACTATTACAAACATAATTTAGGTTAATGCAAATATAATTCATTGCAAATTTTTATTTTATTTTAAAGTGGGTTGTTGTATAAGTTTTTAAAAAAAATCTATTAACGTTCTAAATATTGGCATTTTTTAAAATTTTTTCATATGGCAACTTTAAAAGTTTTCAGTATTTTTACAGCCTAAAAGTAAACTACACTATACTTTTAGGCTGTAAAAATTTCTCTTAATAATATGCTAGTAGAGTGTTGCCAGAAATTTTTAAAAACCCCGGTTTTTATCACCTTTTATTTTCAAGGCCAAAATATGTCAAATTTTTTTAAAAAATAAACAGAATCTTTTAAATAAATTTCACTAATCCCAATATTATTTGGTGTGCTGATTCCGAATATGGGAATTTCACCTTTTAGTCCTTATGACTGTATACTTGAGATCCAAATATAAAATTCTGTAATTTCATAGAAGTTGCGAAAGGCAATGGCCGTTTCTGCCTCTAGACTTATATTTAAAGTTATAGTAATGCATTCTGGAAAAATTTAATGCGATATGACCACGTTAACTGGCGGCATCATGGCTCTGAAGGGGAAACCGATTTTTACAAAAATGTTGGCACCAAATTTATCTTTATGGATTTTAACAGCAAATAATTGGAATATATATTCAATTATCGTTCCAATAAGATAAAAAACACAAAAATCGGCAAAAAATTTTAAAAGTTATTACAAATTCTTCCGACCATTTAGTGCCACAAAATACTTACATAGATGAGAAATATATAAAAAAAATTTGGGAAATAATAAAAATAAATTAAACCATGACATTACGTAAAATATATTTGCATTAACTGAAAGTTTTTATCCTCATTAGATAGAGTAAACCGTATTTGGGATACAGTCATAAAAGGGAACTTCTTCAGAAGGTAGTTTCAAAAATCCAGTTTCAAAGTTTTAACAATTTTGTTAAACAAATTTAAAAATTTTAAGAAAATCTTCATGTGACTTATGAACAATAAAGAAGCGAAAAAATAGTAAAGAAACGAAAGTCGATATCTCTCACATGTTAGCAGTATCTGCGATTTGAATTTTGAGGATTACAGAGAAAACTATTTCTTATTAAAATTTTTGGAAAACAGGCATTATTCATTACTATTATGCATTTTATACAAAACTTTTAAAGAATATATAATTCAAGATAATAGGAAACAAACATCTGAAGTTTAAGTAAAATCGAATTATATTAAAATTTTATGGGTTAAAGTGAAGATCAAACTCAAGCTATACAATATTGGATATTCTCTTGAAACCTTAGTGAAATATTACTTTGTTTTCAACCGATTTAAATGAAACTTAGCAAAAATATATAACGAAGACCCGTATTTCGAAATAATTGAACAAATTTAAATTAACCCTTAAACGTAAATATGTTTTTATATTCAATGCAATTTTGCGATTTCAGCAGCTAAAAAAAACATTAAAAATAGTTCAAATGCTTTCAAATGTTTTCACAAACATTAATTTCGTTAGTCTGTGTTATTAATATAATTTAATAGTATAATTCAGATTACTACCAAACCAAGTCATCATCTTCATAATTCATGAGTAATGGTTCTCAAATGGAAGTCCTTAGCTGCACGACAAATAAAGGGATTGTTTGAAAATGCATCACTGCCCTGCATCTGATGTGCAGTAAGTCACAAAAAATATGATGCGCAATTCGTTTCATAAACTTTATTTATATTTTGGTTTTTTCTAAGAGAAAGTAAAACTCATAAAATGAGTATGAGTTTATTTGCATCAGCAAACTAATCATCAGATGCAAATTATTATCAGAAGCAGTGCAGCGATGTATTCCCTAAAATACAGAATTAAATATTTTCATCTTCTAAAGCTTCGGCACTCATGTTTAACTTCTAACACCCACTAAATCCACAAGGATTTCCAATGGTGTTTTATGGCGGCAATTCTTGTCGTAAAAAGGTTCATAATAATTCTATCACAAATTGATCGATATCTTAATTACATAATTGATACCACTGCAATTTTAACACATTATAAAACAGAACCGAAATACTTCAAGCGAAAGCCGATATAGCTTTGTACATAGATAAAGAAACCTTGTACGGGATTTGAAAACGTGAAATACACGATAAAACAAAAGTTCTCCCGGATTTGTAATTTTCAATTATGTCCATTAAATTTCCGCCATTTTTTTTTTCGTAAAAAGAAGTAATTTTAACTAATCTCTCCTTTTCTCCAAAAAATTTATCGAAAGTATTCCACTGCTCGGTATTAATTTGCTTACACAATTCTACTAGTGGACTAAGATAGTAGCGTTAACATAGTTTGTGGATTATTAGAAACATTAGAAATTTAAATATGTACGTCAGTCCGAATATCTTAAAAATCACACAAATAAAGATCCTGCATGATCTTAATATATACGAAATTTTTTAAAAACATATTTGTAATTTATTTTTGCTCAATTCTTTTTAATTCCATAAAAAACAACAATCCACTAAATCTTATATCGTTTAGCATAAATAAATAAGAAAACGCTTTTTTCCACAAACAAACTGCATAAGAAAGAATGAAACACACTAAAATATCTACTAGAACATTTAAAAAGAAAGAAAAAAAACAAAAACTTATGTATGAAATACACGGGCCTTATTTTTCAAAAAAATAAAATATATAAAAAGTATAAACAAATAAATTAAACTAAAAAAAATCAAGTAAAATCTAAAATAAATAAGAATTTATTTACTTAACAAATACAAAACATATAAAAACGAGCAAGAGATAAAACAAAAGACATTGAGAAATATTTTAAATTTATTTGCCAGCTTAGTTAATTTGCTTTATAAAATTTAATAAAACAGAAATTTTTGAGTTTCTTTACAAACTGCATACACATTTAAACAAATTTTAATAAAAATATACTAATTACCAAACAAAAACCAAATAGTAGAACAATTGAAAAATAAAATAAAAAGAATCTTTAGCTGAAATAAAAAATAATAAAAAAGAAAAATTAAATAATGTAAAGGATTTTTTAAATAAAATGCAATGATTTTATTTGAAAATAAAACATTTTTTATTTATATAAAACCTAAATAAAAGATAAATATATTATATGAAAAAAAATATTAATAATAATAAAAAAACTAGCTGATAAAAAATCCTATTTCCCTTTTGCCTTTTAGTAATTATATTTGCAAAGCTGAAACAAACAAATTTTTTGAGACTTTTTAATTATAATAAATAAAATTAATTATTAAAATTAAATAATTGAGCAAAACAGACAGAACGAAATAAAAACTCATTCAATACACACTTACATAATAGTATAAGAGAAATTTATAAACAAAACACTTTGATTTAAAACAACAATATGTAATAATAATAACAAAATCACTTTAAATATTTAAAAACTTAAAAATAAAATGTAAATGTATTGTAAATGTAGGTTAAATAAATTAAACACATTTAAGTGGTTTTAATAATTTCAGCTTAAGAGCAACATAAAGTGAACAGAGGAATTGCAATTAAATTAATTTGAAATATATATTTTTAAATAATTGTTATAAAATCCGAGGAAATTATGTAGGTTTATATGGGGTTGTTTTTTCCCATACGGCAGCTCTTCCTTTTATAATTAGGCAATTATAATGAAACTTAGCAATGATGCCATATCTTACCAAGTTGAAATAGCAATTTTCCTTTAAATATTCAAAATTGATAATGATTGGAAAATTTTCCAGAAAAAACTGAAAACTAAGGAATCAAAAATGTTTGTCATATTTTTCCAAATGTTACAATAAAAATTTAGAAATATTTAAAAGCCTAAAAAAAATTTTTAGAAATTTATTCCACAATAGTTCATTCCACTGTTCACTTTATAACTCTCTCCAAAGTTCGAAATTATAAATCATATCAATGTCAACGTAATTATTAATATCGTTACTTAGTTATTATTAAAATTAAATATAAGTTTTAACTATAAACAAACAACAAACTTACAGAGAAAAACACAAAATCATTGTTGAAATTAAAAAAAAAAAAAAAAAACAAATGACAAAATTAAAAGTATCTGTAACAATTTATACATAAACAATTTGTGTGATTTAAACAAAAAAACACACAATTAAAACAAAGAAAAACGCCCAATTCTTATGAATACAAATTTATATAAAACAAAAATAAAGGAACGTTCACAACAAAAGTTTATCAAAAAACCCCCGTGAATATAAAGTTCCTTTATTTTTTGATAAATAAAAAAAAACAAAACAAAAATGCTTCAAATTGGCACTAAATGTTTAGCAAATTTTTGCTATAAATTACAAATATAATTCTAATTAATATAAATTAATTTAAAAACAGTCCACATTACTTTAATGAAATTAAAATAAATTTTGAGTTTTAAATATAATAATTTGGCAAACATTTAACATTTTGTATAAATTTCTTCATATGTTCATTTTGTT